TATTTGGAAAAACGAACGTTACGGGGCAGATATTCAAATTCATTAGTCATCGATGCAGGCTCTCAATTCAGCTTGAGAGCCTGTTCGCAGGCTAGTACATTAGAGATTTAGAGGCACTAATAACTCAATAATAAATAGGCACTAATACAAACTCTGAGCCAGTGCACCCAGCATCCTCAAATTGGGAATAATTTGTAAATAATTTTAAATATTTGTGTATAATTAATAATGTATCCTATTCCACTACAAAATGCAATAATATAGAACACATAATTTATCACATAAAGGTAAAAAAGGGATTAAAAACTTTATTATGTAATATTTACATTGAATATCGTGGTTGAAGTTGTAGATTTATACTTAAAATTTCAATTTTCGAACGAGAAATGTTTCGCTTTATTATGTTAATTTTTTTTTACTTTGTTCGCCATTCTTGCTTATTTACAAATACAAATAGTCCATTTCTCCTTTTGCTCTTTTCAAAATAGCCCAGAATTTGATTTTTATCAATAGTTTAATCCCCCCCCCCTTCGGTCAACCTTGCACGTGTAAAACTTGATTATTGTCCGGAAATAGCCTACTTTCACGTTTGATTGATTTATAAGCATACTTTATATGCCTCGATACATTATTAAGTATGTGTGAGTACGTTTTTGAGGCAATTTTTCAAATATTTAATTACACATAGTGAATATTATATATAATTATATATTAATACATTATGATTTTTTTGGTGTTGGTGTAATGTCCTTAGGTGAATATGATGCTTATGATGTTACTCTGAGTGTATATCCACACCGGGCAAGCTTGAAAATTATGCCTGACCACGGTGGGAAACCAATGCTCTTCCAACTGAGCTACGGCGGTCAGGTTGGTTCGAGTATGTGATATTTCGAAAAAAAATCTAGTTCCTTTGATATCAATGTAATTTAGTAATTATGATTTTTTTGTGTTGGTGTAATGTACTCAGGTGAATATGATGCTTGTGATGTTACTCTGAGTGTAGATCCACACCGGGCAAGCTTGAAAATTATGCCTGACCAGGTGGGAAACGAACCTACGACCTTTAATTTGGAATACTAGCCCAATGCTCTTCCAACTGTATGAGCTACGGCGGTCAGGTTGGTTCGAGTATGTGAAATTTCAGAGCAGAATCTAATTCCTTCGATATCAATGTAATCTAGTAATTATGATTTTTTGTGTTGGTGTAATGTACTGAGGTGAGTATGATGCTTGTGATGTTACTCTGAGTGTATATCCACACATGCAGGGCAAGCTTCAAAATTATACCTGACCAAGGTGGGAAACGAACCTATGACCTTTAATTTGGAATACAAGGCCAATGCTCTTCCAACTGAGCTACGGCAGTCAGGTTGGTTCGAGTATGTTATATTTTGGAACAGAATCTAATTCCTTCGATATCAATGTGATCTAGTAATTACGATTTTTTGTAATCGGGGCAGCCTGAGAAAATATGCCTGACAGTGGCTTAGACAGAACGATAATTGGGGGGCATGGGGCATATTCATATATTCGTGTGCACATACCATAACAAAATTGATTTCAAAAGAAATTAATAAAGCAGAACACGAATATACGAATATG